TAGAGCAGTGAGATTCATAACAAACGAATGCGACCAGAGTAAAACATTTAGTAAAATCACTAAATTTAGAAAGCCTTTAGGACAGAAAACTCAAAAGTTAAGTAACAACTATACATAAAACACTGAACCATAATTTTCAAATACAAAAACAAAATATAATAAAATACTCTAAAAGACACAAAGATAAAGGCACACTCCTCGTCCCATATCCTAGGACAAATTTGTACAAATACTCCTTCTTCCCTAGCGCTATTAGAGCATGGAATGGGTTGCATGAGCTAGCCAGAAAAACCAGTGACTTGGCAGAATTTAAGTCATTGGTTAATATGCATGACTAAATGCATAACGCGTAGGACGTAATCATCTTCTTTTTTGAAGTAACGTCTGTATTATATAAGATAAGATAGAGTACTTGAACACACCTATCAAAATTCGTTATTGTACGAGTCTCAGCCATACTCAACGGACACGGTATTCGACTCTGTTATTATACTCATAACAATTTAACTCTTTCTCTCCGTAATTATTTACCACATTCTGGTGGAATCAACGCTGGTATCGTCAATTAGGAGAGAAAGAGTTAATACACTGAATGACTATTGACTACACAACACCTTTGATGGAAGCGTTCGAGTAGCCTTGGGTGCCTCCTATAGAGTACCCAGGTCTCAAACATAAAAGTATCATGAAAACCATCACAATATAGACATCTCCTCCCCATACCTCTGAAGCGCTAGACGATCCAATTTGAGACCCAAAGACAGGTGAGGACGACACTAAAAACAATAATAGACTTCTGGCAGACAACAGCTTTGTATACGTAAGGTCCAGCAAAATATGCAAGTCGCAAACGGGTCAGCGTGGTCATGTAAAATAATGCAATGATTCTTAATCTTCAGAATCGAAGACAATGCCTTATAGGTCATTCTGTTCCTACTCTGTACTCTAAGGAACTTTCGAGCTGAACACAGAGACAAAAAAAAAAAAGAGAGTGGTATCTAGATTGGTCTGTTGACTTACGTGACTAAACGTAACTGTCCATGACGGCGGTTGAGGTTGTATTTGCCAGTTTGTGTAAACATGGGCTGTAGTCAATTTATTGACCAATTTTTTTAAAGTTTTCGTACAAGATGTTGATAAAATCTAACTTCCACCCAATGAATTAGGCAAAAGACACAGTGCGAGACTCATGTGTCGCTACTTTTTTGTGCCATAAGAGATTAATTAATACAATTTTTGTGTTACTTCGAAAATCATTGTACTAGATTTACATTCACGCTTAATTCCCCTGCAACACATGTACACAGTTATCTTGCTTTTTAGAAAAAAAAAAATAGAAACCTTAACTGTTGTAACTATATTTCTGCTTAACCACAAAGTATGTATTGCGAACTATGGTCGTGAAGGTCTAATGTTTAAATCCCTTCCGCTGTCATGCATTGTCATCCTGCAAAATGTTTGTGCTAGTTCCCTGATAATCTTTGTTTCTAAAAGCATCAAGGAAATTCCAACAGCTCTAGAACTAATTGTTTGATTTTGATAATAGAATAATATCTATCTATCTACCTACCGACCTACCTACCTACCTACCTATCTATCTATCTATCTAACTATCTATCTATCTATCTGTCTATCTATCTATCTGTCTATCTATCTATCTGTCTATCTATCTATCTGTCTATCTGTCTGTCTGTCTGTCTGTCTGTCTGCCTGTCTGTCTGTCTGTCTGTCTGTCTGTCTGTCTGCCTGTCTGTCTGTCTGCCTGTCTGTCTGTCTGCCTGTCTGTCTGTCTGTCTGCCTGTCTGTCTGCCTGTCTGTCTGTCTGCCTGTCTGTCTGTCTCCATTAGTACTTACACTTAGAGGCATTTCACTAAAGAAGTTTAAAAGTAAACTTGCAATAATTTATAACTCTGAACCATAGCTTATAAACACAAAAGAAAAAAAAACAAATTATATAAAATGTTCATGTCCTTCAACTGATGTTTTCAGAATCTTTTGTCTTCCGTTTTGAGATGTTTTAGTTGCAGGACACATTTTTGTCTGTCTATTGTGTACGTGTAAATGCGTATGAGAAAACGTATATGAATGTGTGTGTGGGAGTGTGTTTTCAATATAAGCGTAGAACTAATGTCATCGCAGGACTGTCGTGACAGAGTAATTTAATAACTCTGTGACAGTCAGTATCAAATCAAATGAAAGACAGGAACCAAATGCTTTGAAGTTAAAGAACGCAAGACGTTCTTTTAAGTTTTCTTCATGTGGAATAATCAAATCCAGTTTCAATACTATGTATAGATAGGCGGCTGTGTACTGGATTACATGGAGATGCTTGCTATTTCAATTTTTCTCATCATCGCGGCTGTTTTCAATTGTATTCTTATCTTTGCAACCCATCTAGAAATGGAGCAGCTAACAGTCGCCGTGAAGGATTTCTCTCAGCGAATAGGCATGAACCAGAAGTTCTCTGTCCCCAGTTATGAGTTAAAGGTGTGCTGAAAATCCCAAAATCCAAGTTAGGTTCGGATGCCTTTACAATTTAGCCACCACATAACACTTAGGTTAAAAAAAAAATTTTTTTTGTTACAAAATAAATGTTAAAACATCACACAACAAATATGAGTCTGTGTAAAAAAAATATATTGAACCATGTTCCCAAAAGCTTGGTAAATATAAAAAGGTTTTCTAGTTTGAACTTTTGACTACTTCGCAAGAGATTTCATTATATTTTTATCTTATCTTATCTTATATAATACAGACGTTACTTCAAAAAAGAAGATGATTACGTCCTACGCGTCATGCATCTAGTCATGCATATTAACCAATGACTTAAATTCTGCTAAGTCACTGGTTTTTCTGGCTAGCTCAGGCAACCCATTCCATGCTATAATTGCACTAAGGAAGAAGGAGTATTTGTACAAATTTGTCCTAGCATATGGGACGAGGAATGTGCCTTTATTTTTGTGTCTTCCAGAGTATTTTATTAAGTTTTGTTTTTGTATTTGAAGATTATGATTCAGTCTTTTATGTATAATTGCTACTTTACATTTGAGTCTTCTGTCCTGAAGGCTTTCTAAATTTAGTGATTTTACTAATGGTGTTACTCTAGTCAAATGTGAATATTCGTTTGTTATGAATCTCACTGCTCTATTTTGTGTTTGTTCCAGTTTCTTAATGTTTTCTTGAGTTGAGGGGTCCCAAACGGTGGATGCATATTCTATTATTGGCCTAACCAAGGTTAAATAACATTTTAGTTTTATGTTCTTATTTGATTTATAGAAATTTCTTTTAATAAACCCTAATGCTTTGTTGGATTTTTTTGTAGTTTCATAAATATGTGGATTCCATGACAGTTTTTCATTTATTATAACACCTAGGTATTTTGCGTTTTTAGTCTGTGTTACTGGTTTGCCATGAATAAGATAAGTGGAATTAATTTGTTTTAGTTTTTTTGTTACTCTTAACAACTGACATTTTGCTGGGTGGAAAGACATGCTCCAATTTGATTCCCATTTCTGTAATTCATCTAATTCTCTTTGTAAAATATCTGTGTCTTGTGTTGTTTTTATTGTTCTATATATTATGCAATCGTCTGCAAATAATCTGACTTTTGTTCCTGAACTAATGCAATTTGGTAAATCATTTATGTAAATTAAAAATAGTAGTGGACCCAAGACTGTTCCTTGAGGTACACCTGAGTTTACTGTTATTGGTGTTGATTTAGAGCCATTTATTATTACAGTTTGTTCTTTCCCTATCCAAAAAATCTTTAATCCAGTGATGCAGTGGACCATTAATGCCGAAATATTTTAATTTTTTAAGCAAACTATTGTGGTGAACTTTGTCAAAAGCCTTGGAAAAATCTAGTAAGATAGCATCTATTTGTTCACTATTATCTAAATCAGTGGTTCCCAAACTTTTTGGTCTCGTAGACCCCTTGCCATGTTTTCTGGTTTTCGGTAGACCCCCTGCTTGCACATTTTTGCACATTCATCAACATTATGTATTTAAAACAAATTTCTACCTGTTAAAGATTAAAAATAGAAATTTAAAACTACATATTAAGTTATAGAGATCTATCTTTTTTATTGATATAATTCACATTTAAACCGATTAAAATAACAATTAATATGTATTGCTAGAATCACTAAAACACTGGAAATGTTTTATTATGTTTTTGCAGATTTATCAACCGTTGATACGGATTTTATGTTTCATTTATATAGGAATTTGTTGTACTATGAAGTAGTCTTTCTAACATTAAATATTAATTAATTAATTAATTAGCCTTAAGTATCATTGTAAAAGGTTTCACAAAGAGCAGTTTTTCGTATATTTCTTGATCTTTCACATTTGGCTCAAATATTGAATCTGTGGAACTGTTTTCATTAACAGGAGAAGGGGTGAAGGCGAGTAACTAGCGCCAAAACCAGTAAGCTTCTAGCAGGAAGGACCACCCAGCTAGCAGAAGGAAAAGTGAATTCAAACCTCTGCTGCCTTGCTGCTATTCTCAAACATGGGAAAGGTTTCATGGGTCAAGAATTGCATAAGAAGCTTTTCATTTTATAACTCATGCCACCGATGTGCCCTTGAACTGTATTAATGTTTAAAGAAATTCGTTTAATAATATCAGATGTAGGTTTGTGTAAAACGGCTGGTAAAATCAATGTTTGACCTTTGCTGTATTTTGCTATAAGTAAAGAGATATTGTAAGATGCTCACAAACCATCATCTTCTCTATATGATGTGCAAGTGAGATTTTGTGGGTCTATTCTGAACTTTATCTTTGAGTGTTCGAAAGTTTTCCAAATCTTAATCTATTTTTGTCAGGGTGGCATTTTCTCGGATAATCTTCCAGCGTAATTGGTTTCATATTGTCATAACAAGGCACTTAGGCAACCGCTTGTTTGAAAAGGAAAGAATGAATCCCAATTTTAAATAATCAATGCTGTACAGTCGCGACATTTCTTCGTTTTAAACGTTTGTATCATGCAGACAGTTAATTAAATAAGTATTGAAATTGAATTCAACAAGTTTAATCCATTTTCCACACTCTACCTTTATTTTCGTGGCAAAATTTTAAAACAAATGTGAAAGGAACATTCTCCAAGTTGGACATAAATCTAAATAATCATCTTCTTTTTTTAAGTTAAGTAACGTACAATGTTGTAATACTGGTACCCAAATGAAGGCTCACAGGCCGCGGGTCATAACCGGCTAGTTGGAAATACTATACTAATAAAACCTAGAAAAACATCTTTTATAAAGAAAGCAAAAAATCATTGAATGTAATAATTGCCCCACACATTCCCCTCCACACACCCACATATATTCACAAATAACTTTATTTTAAAATGAAGTACAAACAGTAGACTCATGGGAAATAGTATAAAATATAGTGTATCTATTACTGGTAATGTCATTGAGTCCAAAGACTACGGTGGTGCTTAGAACTTCGCGTGGGCCCTACTGTCACCTACATTTTTTTTTGTTACTCACGTTAACGAGGCAGCTGTTTTCATTTAGCCATTTGTGCATGTCATCGGCGGTAGCTTTCATCTTAAACTAGAATAGTAACTAGTCTAACTAGCCAAAAATAGACATCTAAAAGAATGTCCCATAATTAGCCATTAGTTCAAACTTGACAGGTATATATGAGATGTAGAGTAAAAAATAAACACAGCGGTAATGTTTTCTTAGGTCTATGGATTAGATCTGTGTTATTTATTTTTTTATCACAAAGTTCTTTGAGGGCACTTTGTCCATTTTGTTAGGGTGTTTCCACGTCCATCTTGTGATGGTATATTATCGTCCATATAATAATAGTAGTGTCTAGTCCACTATGTGATAGTATCAATTCTTCCATCTTGTGTTGGTATCACCTTGTCTATCTTGAGAAGGCATCGCCTAGTCTCTCTTGAGATGGAATCACCTTGTCTATCTTGAGAAGGCATCGCCTAGTCTATCTTGTGATGGTATCACCTTGTCTATGTTGAGAAAGCATCGCCTAGTCTATCTTGTGATGGTATTACCTCGCTCGTCTTGTGATGGTGTTACCTTGTGTATCTTGTGATGGTATTACTTTGTCTAGCTTATGATTGTATTTCCTCTTCCGTCTTGTGATGGTATTACCTTGTCTATCTTGTGATTGTATCACCCTGTCCACATTTTGATGTGATTACCTTGTCTTTCTTGTGATAGTGTCAGTTTTTCCATTTTTTTATATCTCCTGGTAATTCTCGATTATAAAAAAACCATCTCTAATGCTTTCCTGAATATTTATGAGGCTCTTACAGTTAGATGGACTGTCTTCTTGCGTATTATGAAGCTCTATAGTTTTAAGGTGTCTCTCAAAGTCTTTACATTGTCTCCTATCGTCACACTCTGTACATTATTAATGATATGTTTTAGTACATCTTTTGTGTACAAGTATCTCTTCACGTTTTCAAAGAGCAGGCTGGTCCCAATGCTTTGCCTCGTGTCATTATAGCGCTGTTAGAGTCCATTATTTGTGTTCACTCCGTCCTGATACACCCCCACTCCCCTCTCCCTTTCTCCATCTCAGTACTTCTCCCTCCTCTTCATTTAAACAATCACCCTAACCCCCCCCCCCCCCGCCCCGTTACCTCCTCGTATATAAACGTTTACGTCTCGTCATTCTGCACGTGCTGGGAACTCATCGGGAGGAAGTTGCGGGACTTTTTAAAGGGGGGGGGGGGAGATGACGAGGATAGATTTGGTGGGATTGGGGGAGAACGAGGGGGTGGGGTGGATAAGTTTACCGACTGATATGGGATAATTGCCTAGAGAAAGATGGCCATCGTTTAGATTTTGGGGCAGTGCAACGGGCAGAGGAGAGTCCTGTGAAACAGGGTAGAGACTGAATGGGAGTGATCTGACGTAATGCAAGTTGGTTGAGGAAGACCAGGGCTGACATAGTCAGTGAGAAGAAAGCATGGCATCTTAGAGATAATGTCAGATACGTTCGGAGTGCGGGGGGCTCCAAGAACTGTTGTGGGAATGATATCTACCGAGTCGTGCAGTATACTGATCTCTCACAGAGACACGATCATTATATGAAAGGTTGTGGTGGTGTTGTGGCTGAATGGTAAAGCGCTTGTCTTCCAAATCGAGTTTTCTCGGGTTCGAATGTCAATCAAAACTGGGATGTTGAAATTTAGAATTCCTAGGACGCCCTCAAGTCCACCAAACTCGAATGAGTTCCTGGCGTTAGTTGGGGAAAGTAAAGGCAGTTGATCTTTGTGCTAGCCACATGAAACCCTCAGTAACCGTCTCTCAAAGTAACATGGGTTCTGGAAGGAGACTTAATCAAGGAAATGCATTTTGGGTTAATTAAATGACAGCGATCGCATCTTTTGAGTTCTATACTTATATTAATTATAATAACGAGACCCAAACGTGGAGAACCCAATCCCTTTCACCCTTCAGCATGAGAAATAAGGCCCTACATGTACGACAGCGTCTGTGGAATAGGCCATGTAGCCACCAGGAGTAGGCATTTCTGCATTTCTGAGCAGGGGAAAACGTTAGGCAATCTTGTGATAGATGAAAATTTAAACACTCCCCAAATTCACAATCTGCATATAAGGGGAAAAAATCATTTTCTTTCCGATGAGGGGCGTTACTAAAAAAATGGTTAGAAACACTGGTATATTTTCACGAATTCTAAATATAAAAATATTTATCTATTACAAAGCTTAGATAAACTTATCATCTGTCTGTCTTGTAAAAAGCTTGTACACATTAGTCTCCTACATGCAATTCTCGGATCAGGTTGAAACCTTGCAGAATTATTCATTGTCGAAGACAATACACAAATTAATCAATGGACCTCATTCACCAACGGTAAACAAACAACATTTAATCACGTTATAATATTGATAAAACAACGTAAAAAAACAGTCACGTGATAGCCACTGAGTATTAAAATGAGATCGTAATTTGTATGGAAGCGATAGAGAATCACGTGGCTAAATGTTGTTTGTATACGATTGGTGAATGGGGTCTATTAACCAGTAAGTTAATTAGTTAATTAATCAGTGGAAATGTATACATTTTGTTTGGTATAGAAAAGGGAGATAAATCTTTATAAATAGATAAAGCAGGTTCTTTCCCTTATATATATATATATATATTAGAATTTTGCATGTTTTATTTAGCCTTTGTTTCTTTTACCAATTTTTATTTTAAGGTCAACTTTAAATTACAATTTAAAAAAACTACAACAAAAGAACAAGGCGAACGTTCAACTACATCTCCATTTACGTAATTCAAATCAGCTTGATTCTGTTCATAAAAACATAGTTTCTTTTTGTAAATTCTAATCTCGTGGCACACTACATGAACTAAACCCGCTCGTGTCACTGAGAATTCAGGCTTTTTAAAGCACAAACCATTCGACAGAGATTTTAAACAGAAAGATTACTGAAGCTGGCTTTGTCAAGCCTAGATCTAGACATCCGGGAAACTTGTCGCGTGGAGTGCAAGGGGGAAGGAGGTTGATGAAAGAAAGTCATTCAGCCGAGCGGAAGTGATGGGAAGTCTGAGGTCATAGTTGGATTAGTCTGGTCAATATTAAATTAAGTATGTGGACTCTGTCATAGTGCGCCATCTAGCGGAGGCTTCTGCTGTTTCACCCAAGAGAGAACTGTCAACACTAGACTTATCCCACTATGTACTCAACCTCTAAGCCCACAAACGTATAGGTCTTTTAAACTATCTTTAAAACTTTGAAAATATCAGATAAATTTTATCTCATAATTAAAATAAACCAAACACGAAACTATTTTAAAATACTTAAAAAAAAAAAACACACAAGGCTTATATTGGGAAAATTGTGTCAATTAATTTGAATAAGTCAAGTAATTAAATTTGTAATAGATCTAGACTAACAATAAAAAAGCATTTATCAAAATTAAAAAATTCGAACTCATGGCTCGGGCTTCTGAACGCAACACGGTAACCACTTTGCTAGTGGAGTGCTTATTAACATGGAAATATTGTATAGTTATCTCTTGTTTCTATTGTCACGTCCTATTTTTCAAGTTTGTGTTGACTAAGACTCAGACGACGACCTATAAAGGGGACTAATTCAGCTTATGCCACCACTTCAGTCAAAAACAATTTCTTTACTCTTGTTCGAGATACCAAACAGAATAATTGATTACCAATAGTTAATTAACTAATTTTCTAATTTTATATATTGATTACTGTTTGTCAGGTCAAAGAAATAATTGTGCGAAATTTCAGCCTAATCCGAGAATTATTGTGGGATAAATAACTTGTACAAATATTTTACCAGACAGACAGAGTGAGTTGATAGAAGCTTCGTAAAAAAAAAAAAAAAAGGGGGACAAACGAGATAGAAATAGAAAGAAAGAAGAACAAAATAAAAAAAAAGAATGAAGGAAACAATAGAAAGAAGAAAGAAAAAAAGACAAACGACAAAATGCAAAGAAATAAAAGACTAAGCGAGAAAGAAGAGAATTAACAAACAGAAAAAAAGAAAGCTATATGCCCTCAAATGTGATTCTAGTAGACCCTTTTAGTTGAACACATTTAAATTTAATATCTACTTCGGTGTTACAAACAACAACACAAGTCCATGAGTAATGAAAGCAACTAATCCCATTACTTCGTTGACATTCTTTTAGTGAAACCCGACCTATTGTGAGAACCTTGCCAATAGTCAACTATCATTGCCTTACATGATTGAGCCACACAAGTGAACAATGTCGTTGTGTTTTGTAGAAACGACATAGCTTACGAAAAACAAAGAGAATACTCTTTACAAAAGAGAACAGACCACCTCATGTATACAACCTATAGAGCGTTTAGTTTGCCCATATTAACTAATAAATTTTGGAGTAAAAAAAAGAATTAATATTAACATCTCGACGAGATTTAAAAAAACTCCGTGTTAAGCGAAAGTATAAATCTACTCCACTTTATAATATTCTAATGATCGCCATTTACATCTATACTTAGAAGACGGTGCGCAAAATGTCCCTGAACGTTAATTTGTAAAATTCTTGAATAATGCAACACTTCCATGCAGAAATACACGAAGACGTTTGATCCGTTCAAGTTAAATATATTCTCGTTCTCCAGCCAAAATTAATTATTTTTTGACCAAAAAAAAACAAAACCCTACAGTTTTCCCATTTTGACCAACGAGTTAGTAATCGTTTTCCTGACGAGATACAGCTAGTTGAAAATCGTAAGAGAGAGAGAGATTGAGAGAGAGAGAGAGAGAGATTGAGAGAGAGAAAGAGAGCGAGTATCAAACGCAAGTTAATGTATAACAATACAATACGACGGTGAATAAATCAGGTCAATTTTATTTAATTTTTATTTTACAAGTCACAATTTCACGGAAAAAAACAGACTTCTAAAGATTATCCAATGTGTCACAACACATCCAAAAAGCAACCCCCCACATCTTAAAGAAAGACTCACGACAGAGATTAAAAAA